TGACTCTTAATACCTCTCACACCACGGTTAATGGTATGGTTTACAACATGGAGTATAACAGTGCCCCGCAGCTGTCTCTCTCCCCCTCCTCTCTTCCGAGTTATTTCAATGCTAAATTCTCCTAGTTATTTCAATGCTAAATTCTCCTGTTTGATTTGTACTAGGTGCCTCTGTAAATGTGTATGCTCTGACTTTAACATGGCTATTTCTGTGACCAGTCACAAGCTAATCACTCAGCTATTTCAATGTAAATTCTATGCTAATTCCTTTGTCAAGGGGGTGCCTCTGTGGATGTGTATGCTTTAACATAGCCATTTCTGTGACCAGTCACAAGCTAATCACTCAGCTATTTCAATGCTAAATTATATGCTAATTCCTTTGTCAAGGCGCTTTGTTTCTTCTCACACAGCTTAAAGGTTGCGATCTGAGCGTGGCTTTTTCGCTCCAGCGCTGTCCTCCAGACAGTCTAATCCCTTCACCTGATGAAGGCCGCTTGTGTTGTGGCCGAAACGTCGTGAGAATTTTATTGTGTTATTTTATTTTATCAATTTATTATTTTAGAAGATCTTCTTGGTTCTTTCAGTAAAGTAACGTAGAATGGAAATATAATAATAAAAATAAAACATAACATTCTCAAGACGTTTCGGCCACAGCACAAGTAGCCTTCAGGTGAAGGAAGAGAACTATCGGGACGACAGCGCTTCAATGAACACTGCTAAGCTTCGCAGCGTCTTTTAAGCTGGGTGGGAGGAGCAGAGCGCCTTGACAAAGGCGTTTACTTATCAACAGAAGAATTTATCATTGAAATAGCTGTTAAAATCAGAAATTAGCTAACTGGGAGATTAGAATTATGTTAATGTGAGGGATTAGCATGTAACTGGTCACGGAAGTATCTATGTTAAAGTAAGAGTTTACATATCAACAGAGGCATTTAGTATATTGACGCTAAAGAACTGCAACTACCCAACTATCATACAATAAGCCGATGTGAAAGAGCTAAGTATAAACTACATCAATATAATAAATGTACTCAATATATTCTTCAATAAGTTGAGCTATTAACATACAGTGACTGGGTATATACTACACTATATAATGAAAACCATATGGTAAACTGATAAAAAAACTAAAATATAAACTACATCAATGGTATCAATAAACTCAATATATTCTCCAATCAGCTGGGCTACTAACAATAAGTCGTTATACATTACAATTCTATGTCGAAAATGCGTTACTATACACTACCCTATACTTTAGACTATAAAATATTAGACTTGTAATATTGCACTGTATAATTCAAGGGTGGGGTTTGTCTATGGCAGTGTATATTATGATGTATAGTGGTGTAATGTAGAAAAAAGTTTAGTTGGAGACATCAATATAATGCATAGTGTTAGAGCTTACATTGGGCTGTGTATACGATATACAATGTAGTTTAGATTGAAAGGTATAACATTGTAATGTATAGTATTCTAGTTTATAACATAGTTGTAACACAGGACAGAGCAGCGCATCGTGGCTGTTTCTCCCCCCTCCGTTCCGAGCATAGATGGACTCGTCCGTCTGAACAAAGCTCATCGCTTTCCGTGGTGCTAACGTTGAAAAGAAAAAAACGCCACCTTTTTTTTCGACATAGAATTGCAATGTATAACGACTTATTGTTAGTAGCTCAGCCGATTGGAGAGTATATTGATAACATTGATGTAGTTTATATTTTAGTTTTTTTATCAGTTTACTATATGGTTTTCATATATAGTGTCATGTATACCCAGTTACTTTATGTTAATAGCTTAACTTATTGAAGAATATATTGAGTACATTTATTATATTGATGTAGTTTATACATAGTTATTTCACATCGGCTTATTGTATGATAGTTGGGTAGTTGCAGTTACTTAGCGTCAATATACTAAATACCTCTGTTGATATGTAAAATCTGACTTTAACATAGCTACTTCCGTGACCAGTTACATGCTAATCCCTCACATTAACGTCATGCTAATCTCCCAGTTACATGCTAATTTCTGACTTTAACACCCTGCTAATCCAACACTTTAACACAGTTATTTCAATGCTAAATTCTTCTGTTGATATGTAAACTCCTTTGTCAAGGCGCTCTGCTACTCCCACCCAGCTTAAAAGATGCTGTGAAGCTTAGTGTTCATTGAAGTGCTGTCGTCCCAACAGTTCTGTTCCTTCACCTGAAGAAGGCTACTTGTGTTGTGGCCGAAATGTCGTGAAAATTTTATTTTATGTTTTATTATTATTATTTTATTTCCTTTCTACGTGACTTTACCGAAAGAACCAAGAAGATGAATCCCTGCAGTCACGAAAGCTTTAAATCGAAGCAGAATACAGTCGACATGAAAGGCTGGCAGTACACTGAGTGAGGTAAAGAGGCAGGCAACAGATTATAGACTGGCATACACTCATAATGGTCAAAAGGAAAATGAGCAGTGTAGAGTGCTAGTGCACTGACGTTAATGAATCAGCAGGCAGCAGGCCACATCAGACTGGCAGTAGACCGTCGCAGCGTCATAAAAGCACAGCTGAAAAATGGAATATTTAGCAACGTAATAATGAAAAATTAGTTTTGTGCACACAAACATTATTGTAATATCTGCCAACGTATATGTTTAATAATAGTAAACAATAATACTACAATAATGCTATCTAAGCGCTGTAATAATATTAATATCTACGGACTTTATAGCAGTAACTGCACGCATCGTGTTGGGAGGGGGCGAAGAGGACATCACACTGAAGAAATAGCAACGGTTTCGCAATGGAAACGAACCGAGGGATGAACCGGCGATAATAGGAGGCGAAGCCAACAAAGCTCCCACACTCACGGGAACCGGCCAATCGCGAACACACGCCGTCTTTGTAAGATCGGTGGAAATACCGTCCGCACTCACAATGTGGCCCAAATACCGAACGGAAGTCTGCAAGAGGTGACACTTTTTCGGCTTGAATTTGAGATTTTCCGAGAGCATCCGTTCAAAAACAGCGCGCAGCCGGAGGAGGTGGTCATCAAACGACCGACAGAACACGATGACGTCGTCCAGATAAATTAAGCAAGTGTCCCATTGGAGACCGACCAGGACGAGTTCCATGAGTCTCTGGAATGTGGCTGGTGCGGCATTCAATCCCATCGGCAAACAATTAAGTTGAAAGAACTTGCGGAGTTCGGAACGCGGTCTTCTGCCTCGAAGACTCATCGAAGGGCAGTTGCCGAAACCCAGAAGATAGATCAAGGGTCGAGAAGAACCGCGCTCCGGACAAAGCATCCGCAAATCTTCACGCTGAGCCGGAGACAGCGATGCGTTTTCATCACACAATTCGGCAATCCATTGATCGTCCGATGAACACCTTTTAATGACAGCGCATACAGCCTGCGCCGACGTGCGCTTCTCACGTTTGGTAAAAGCGGTGGTGGCATGAGCGAGGACAGTGCCCGTGGGAACAACAAGATCGCCAGGTCCCCCATTCAAAACCTGCAGAAACGGGGCCTGACCCATTCAATGGTCTGAGCACAAACCAACCTCAACCTTTGCGTAGCAGCATTTAAAGGCGTCAACAAGACACCATTTACCAGGACGTCGCAACAGATTTGCTTGCGATAACGGAACGGAATCAACATTTGTGAACCCGATGGAACTGGAACGGTGGCATCAACCAAAGCCTGAACCGTTTCGGTGGACGCTGGTCGGGGGAGCGGTGATGACAAAAACCGCAATCTATGACCCGACGGTAGCTCATGACAACCCTGGTCCACGAGAATCTTGACCGGCATTCTTGCCAAAAAATCAGTGCCCAACAAGCACGGCACGGCCAACGTGCGCGAGATCAACACTGGCTCCGACGCCTGAATGTCCCCAATGGCGATACATGCGTCAACCTGGCCAATGATCCCCATACTACCCCCGTTAGCCGCAACACACACATCGTATACAGGGCGAACGCACGACGCAGGGATTGACAACAATTTAAAAATAACATCTGAAATTATTGTAGCAGATGCCCCCGTATCAACCAAAACGCGGACATCAACACCCTGAATAGTGGTACAGTATATTTATTGAAGTAGTGTATCCCAAACTTTCACAGCAGCTTATTTCCCTTCTCACCAACATTTGCAAACTCCCCCCCCCCCCCCCCCCCCCGTGCCGGTCCTCTACAGCATTTTATGACAATTCCTTTGTCGAGGCGTTTTTTGTTTCCCAGCTTATTTCCCTTCACACCAACATTTGTAAACTCCCCCCCCCCCCCCCCCCCCCCCGTGCCGGTCCTCTACAGCATTTTATGCTAATTCCTTTGTCAAGAGGCGTTTTTTTTTTCCCCACACAGCTTAAAGGACGCGACCTGGGCTTGGCTGTCTTCACTCCAACGCTGTCCTCTGGACAGTACGGTCGCTTCACCTGATGAAGGCCACTTGTGTTGTGACCCAAACGTCGTGATTTTTTGTTGTTTTATTTTTTACCTACGTGACTTTACCGAATAGAACCAAAGAGTATAATTAATAGTACTAAATTGTCAATTTAACGACTTTAAAGTTAACAGATGTGAAATACGAATAGCGCTGGCTCAACCCGGGGCTTATCACGTGGTATCTGGGTACTTTTTAGAGAACAGCTCCAGGACCTCCGTGATCTTAGTAATGCCCTCAGTCTAGATTTCTGTGGTGAGGTTTCTTTTGGGAAGAGCCTGAAACTGTCCTAGTCTCATGAGTTTTCATCTGGCTAAAAGCACTGTAATATGAGATGTAATCGTGACCACGAAAAGGGATCTGGTTGGCTCAGCGTGTCGCTCTCATTGTCTGAACGAATGATTGGAGTGGGAACGTTTCCTCGGGTAGCGCTACTGCAAGCGCTTTATAGGTATTTTTTTTGTAAAAAGATTCTGCAGGAGAAAGCATGATGAGGAATTGTCTCACTTTGTTTGTGCTAAGTGAGGTCTGCCTATATATTGTGTGTAATATGTGTATATATCTGCAGATGAATCACATGGAGCAGAGAGACTCGGAACAAGCTGGAACTAAAAGGCATAAATGCATCCAGTGTCCATACAGCACGGATCAGATGAGCAACTTGAAGAACCATTACAGAACCCACACTGGAGAGAAGCCCTTCAAGTGCACTGTGTGTGGGAAGGCATTTGCGCAATCGCCATATCTTAAAATACACCAGAGAACACACACAGGCGAGAAGCCCTTCAAGTGCATTGTGTGTGGGAAGACATTTACATGGTTATCGAATCTTGACAGCCATCAGAAAACGCACACTGGTGAGAAGCCCTTCAAGTGTGCTATGTGTGGGAAGACATTTACACGGTCATCTCATCTTGACAGCCATCAGAAAACACACACTGGTGAGAAGCCCTTCAAATGCACTGTGTGTGGGAAGACATTTACACAGTCATCACATCTTGACAGCCATCAGAAAACACACACTGGTGAGAAGCCCTTCAAGTGCACTGTATGTGGAAAGGCATTTACACGGTCATCACATCTTGACAGCCATCAAAAAACCCACACTGGGGAAAAACCCTTCAAATGCACTGTTTGTGAGAAGGCATTTAAAGATTCCGGATCTCTTCGTATTCACCATAGAATACATACAGGTGAGAAACCCTTCAAGTGCACTGTGTGTGGAAAGGCATTTTCATGGTTATCGAATCTTAACAGCCATCAGACAACACATACTGGTGAGAAGCCCTTCAAATGTACTGTTTGTGAGAAGTCATTTACACGGTCAGGAACTCTTCAGGATCATCAGAGAACACACACAGGCGAGAAGCCCTTTGTGTGCACTGTGTGTGAGAAGGTATTTAAAGATTCCGGATCTCTTCGTATTCACCATAGAATACATACAGGTGAGAAACCCTTCAAGTGCACTGTGTGTGGAAAGGCATTTTCATGGTTATCGAATCTTGACAGACATCAGAAAACACATACTGCTAAAAAACCCTTCAAATGCACCGTGTCTGAAAAGGCTTTCAAAGATTCAGGATCTCTTCGTGTTCATGACAGAATCCACTCAGGCGAGACGCCCATCAAGCACACTGTGTATGGGAAGGAATTTGTACGGTCAGAAGGCCGAAAGAGGCGTGAGAAGATCCACAAGGAGGTGGAGGTGGAATTGAGAAGTGAGAATCAAATTGCTTCATTGAGCCCATCTCGCATGGAACAAGAAACAGAAGCTAACACCAGTTTTGAAAAATGGCCAGGAGTGAAGGTGGAATGTGAAGAAATGAAGGTGAAATGTGAAGATGAAGATTCGACTCCAGGAACTGACCTCCAGGTTGATGGAGGCAACGTGAAGCAGGAGGGGCATTCAGACTTTGAGGGAGAGCGAGGCGTCCTCGAGGAGTTTGAGGAGGAATTGTGAATGGAATATTTGGATAGCAGAGTCGGAGGGCCCTACACATATGAAGTGGAGTCTGGGAAGATCTGTAACCAAGACCGTGACAATTCCAAAGCGTCAACTTTATTCACAGGCTTCTCTAATTACAATAATGAATACAGCTGTAGGCATCATCCAGCTTTCATTTAATGTAGCTGCGCCAAAGTTTTGGAACCACTTAAGAAGTTTCACCTCTTGGCATCTCCATTCTACCATCTGTTTTCATTGACTCTAGGACTCGACCTCCATGTTGAATGGAGGCAGCGTGAAGCAGGAGATTTCGGACTCTGAGGGAGAGTGAGGCAATTTCAAGAGTTTGTGGATGTGGAGTTGTGTGTGGAGTTTATGGATCTAAATAGGAGGAGCCAGCAGTGTGAAATGGAGTCCGGTTAAATGTGAAACTCGGAAAGTGAGAGAATCTCCACAGCTGTAGGCATCCAGCCAGAGATGAGCTTTCAGCAAATATATTATTGCCATGCAGTCGTGAGATATTGCCGATTTGCAACATAATAGGGGTGCTTTTATTGATTATTCAGCATTACAAATTGTTGGTTATGTATAAAAGATTTTGAGTCTTTATGTTGACGTTTCGACAGTGCAGTAAGGCCTTGTTTAACATGGTCAATGTATTCCTGGAGTCTCGCGTTAGCAAAAAAATTTCCCCATAAATGATGTAATAATAAAATGTGTCAATACGATGCACTACGCACATCACAGTGAGTGCCACCACTGCGTTACGTTATCATCCCGCGTTGTACACAAAAAGTTTACCCAAATGGAAGAACCGCGTTATAGCGAGAATGCAGTATGTGGACACCATGGAAGAACCACGTTATAGCGAGAATGCAGTATGTGGACACCATACATTAAGCGAGGACTTACTGTAAATTTCGGTTTGCTCTGTTAAAATAGTTTTTTAACTGCATTTACTTTTAAAAAATTCCTTTAAGTTTTCAGCTTTTTCTAACATGTATAATGACAGGTTGCCACCTGTCAGCCTGGAGGGGTAATCACGGGTATGGGCAAGTTATGTAATGACTAACTAGAAGGGGGGCGGTATCTGGGGTAAAGGTTAAAGGCGGAGTCAGTCGGGAAGTTCTGGGAACCTGCTCTAAGATTCTGGAAGGGGGGGTGGCCGGGAAATAAGGGGGACGGATCCAGAGGTTCGGGGCTGTTGCGGGTCTTGGCTGCGTCACTGCTCGTTGTCATCTCTCTTCATCGTCCAGCCGCGTGGCCGATCCTCAGCATGATTCTCATCATCGTCGTCACTAGTTGGACAGCTGTGTAGTTGGATGCCGACGATGGGGTTGTGTAGAAGGGTCGGCTATGTGTAGCCATGTAGATATGTTCTGTATAACGCCCAGTGTTGTGCCTAGTGTGAGAATAAATAAGCTCTCTACACGGTGTGGTTGCAAATGAACCAAAACCCTCGCCCATCACGGCTTTTCTCATCGTGGATTTGACTGCCAAATTTATTTAGCTACATACTCTGGTTCTTTCGGTAAAGTCACGTAGGTAGAAAAAATAATAGATCACGACGTTTCGATCACAACACAAGCAATCGTCATCAGGTGAGACAACTACAGCAAGAAAACTGCTGAAGTAGGCGAGAGAGCTGCCATGACGAGAGGTTATATAGGTCTGAGCTGGGAAGACGGGAGGGGGAAGTGGGCAGGGCTGGAAGTAGAAGGCTGCGTGAAGATGAGGGGGAAGTGGGCGGGGCTAGAAGTGGGAGGCTGCGTGTGAAGACATGAGGGCGGGGCTTATTTAGCTACAGTTCATCGATAGCGCCCCACCTGTAGCTCCACCATTCACGTTTTGACTGCGAATTTAATATACAGTACACATGTTCTAACTTGCTGCCCTGCCACACTACATCAGCCTGCAGTGAGGAGGCAGCACTTCAGCCACCTGTAACTGTTCTTACCCCACTACATTTTTTTCCCCCCATATATTTTTATCGTGCAAGTTATGTTATTAATTCTATTGCTGTGGAGTCGTGAAATTTTGTCGATTTGCACAGTAGTGCGGGTGCTTTGCTTTATAATTAAGCATTCTAAATCGTTGGTTATGTATTTAGCGATTTTGAGTTCTCTAACATAGCAGATGAGTTCCTGGAGAGTACCGGTGTAAGCTAAAACCACGCGAAGTTAAAAGATTTTCCCATAAATGTAATGTTAAGATACGATGTACTACGCACACCACACATTGAGATGGCGGGATAAATAACTGAGGGTACGCCACCACTACGTTATGGTATTCTGCATGGTATCACTACCACTCAGCCACGTAGGTCAAGAAAGTTAATTGTCGACCGGTTAGAAACTGTGTTGTAACGGTGCGTGTTGTGTATTGTACAAAGAAGTTTTTCCCAAATGGAAGAACAATGTGATAGTGAAAACGTAGTGTGAATACCCAAGTTAAGCGAGGACTTAATGTACATTTTGATTCTCTGTTATTCAAATAGCTTTTTAACTGCATTTACTTTAATTTTATTTTCTATTTTAACATTGAAGCTTTTTTAACATTTATGAGGTTTTATGTCATGTTTCAAATACACCAAAACCCTCGCCCATCGCGGATTTGACCGTTGCCAAATTGATTGAACTACAGTTCACCAATCATGCCCCCGTGGCTCTACCATTCACGGTTAACTGTGAGCTTCATGTACAGTACGCATCGGTTGTAACTTCCCTACTGGACATCCGCCTCTAGTGAGGAGACAAAGCTTTGGCCACTTGTCATTTTTCTTAGCTCACTGTTTTTTTTCCCCATTCGATATATTTACCGTGCAAGTTATATTATTAATAATATCATTGATGTGCAGTCGTGAAATATTGTCGATTTGCAAATAAGTACCGGGCCCTTGATAAATGAGCATTAAAATTAATTGGTTATGTATAAAGGGATTTTGAGTATAAATGGTTGGACAGTGCAGTAAGGCCTTATTTAATGCGGTAGATTCGTACCCGCAGAGTGCCGTGTAAGAGAAAATGACAAATGAATATAATTTTCTCATAAATAATGTAGTAATAGTAAAGTTTGGCAAGATACGATGTGCTACGCACACCACACTGAGATGGCAGGAGAAATACCTGGGTACACTGCCACTACGCTACTGTGTCATTCAGCGTCACTTGGCCACTCAGCTGAAAGTACGTTGTCGATCAATCAAATACTGCGTTATAACAGTGCACATTCCGCATTGTACCGGTGTGTGTTACACGTGCACAAAGTTTTACCAAATGGAAAAACCATGTGATAGCAGAAACGCGATGTGTAGACACCACACGTTAAGTGAGGACTTACTGTACATTTTGTTTTGCTTTAATAAAATAGCTTTTTACTAAATTAAATATTCATTTTTTACGTTTTCCTATTTTTCTAACATGAGGTTTTATGTCATGTTCCAAATACACAAATCCTTACTCAGTACGGGTTTTCCCATCACGGATTTGACCGTGCCAAATTTATTAAGCGACAGTTCACCGTTGGCGCCGCCTTGTGGCTCCACCTTTCGCGGTTGCCTGAGTTTCATGTACAGTACACATTCGTTGCAACTTGCTGCCCCACTGGACATCAGCCTCCAGTGGGGCAGAGCTTCAGCCGCCCGTCATTTTTCTTACTTCACTATGTATTTTTTCCCCCATTCTATATATTTACTTTGCAAGTTATATTAATCATATTATTGCCGTGCAGTTGTGAAGTATTGTCGATTTGCAAAGTAGTACGGGTGCCTTGATAATTAAGCATTACAAGTTGTTGGTTATGTATAAAGGGATTGAGTACCTATATTAATGGTTGGACTGCGGTAAGTCCTTGTTTTAAGTGGTAGATGCGTACCCGGAGAGTACCGCATAAGTGGAAATCGCGTTAAGCAAAAAAAAATCCCCATAAGTAATGTAGTAATGGTAAAGTTTGGCAAGATACCATTTACTACGCACACCGCACAGATAGCGGGACAAATAACTCAGGATATGCTGTCACTGCGTTACTGTATCATGCCGCATTACTGTATCACTGTACCACTCATCCGCGTAGCTCAAGAAAGTAGTTAGTCGTCGACTGCTTAGAGACTGTGTTGTAACGGGACATGTTCTGCATTGCAACGGTGCGCGTTCCACATTGTAACAGTGCGCGTTCTGCATTGTAACAAGGCGCGTTCCACATTGTAACGGTGCGCGTTCTGTATTGTGCAAAAAAGTTTTCCTGATTGGAAGAACCACATGATGGCCAAAACATTTAGTGTACACCACACGTTCAGCGAAGACTTTCTGTACATTTCGGTTTGCTCCGTTATTAAAATTGCTTTTTAACTGAATTTACTTGAATTTTATTTTCCTTTAACATTTTCAGCTTTTTTTACATTTATGAGGCCATAATACAGGTTTTTTTGGTGTTAGATCGCATAAATATATAAATATCGTTAAACCTGACAGCCAATTAATAAGGTTTGTGATGTCAACAGAACATTAATGAGGTTTGTGATGTCAACAGAACATGCTAATCCATTACTGTGTTGGAGAGCAAAACCACAACATTTATAATCTGAGTACGATGTTTTGCCAGTAATTAACTAAAACTTTTTTTTGTTTTACTCTGCAACACACTGGTGTGCTGTACTAGTGTAATGAGACGACTTCCGAGACACGACTTGTAGAGGGGTTCCTTTACTCTTTGGTTCTTTCGGTGAAGTCACGTAGGTATAAAATAAATCACGACATTTCGGGCACAACACAAGCGTCCGTCATCAGATGGGAAAGCATGATCTGCTGCTGAGGCAGACTGTTTTAAAAGGTTAGAAATGGGTGTAGCCCAAGGGTCATAAAGAAGTGGGCGGGGCTAGTGATGTTAATGTGAGAAATTAGCATGTAAATGTAAGAACGGAGAGCGGCCTCCTCGACGAGGGCACGGAAGTGGCTATGTTATTGTGAGAGATTATAAGGTCGAAGAATGGTGCAATCCAAAGGCATGAGAGTGCAATCCAAAGGACATGTGAGCATGAGAGATCTAAGAGAGGCATAGAGAGAGACACAGTCGGAAATAACAGCTGACTAGGCAGGTAAGATGGAAACATTACTGTCAGTTAAAACTTTACCTGGTTAATAACGTCCTTCCAATGATTGCTCAGTTTGCACTCATCTTCTCGTTGAGTATGGATTCCTGCAGTCACGAAAGCTTCAAATTAAGAGGGTTTCTTGTTTATTTCGTAATACTTTAAGGACAGGGTCACCGAGTAACATAAGCGCTGGGTTACGTATAGCTTAGCCACCCATACAGCGACATCGGCGACGTACAACTACATAGCTGACTGACTATATAGCGACGACGATGACTATCGCTGGCCGGCTATGCAGCGACGACGAAGAGATGGCAGCGATGACAGCAATGGCAACTAGGACCCAAACCCCCATGACAGCCCAATTGATCCCTGCCTTGACCCTTGGCCCAGTTACACCCCCCTTATGGATGCCTATGTGTGCTGTTTATAACGCACCCATACCCGTAGTTAGCACCCATGGCCAACAGATGGCACCCTGTCGCTACACTAGTAACAAATTGCCATGTTCTGTTTTCGTAACAAACCTTACTAATTGGCTGTGTTGGGTGGTGGCGGGTTTAACTACACATCTTTATATTAACTCGATCTAACCCAAAAAACCTGTATTATGGATGATATTGGCTGCGAAAGCCTACAATTTATGAGGTTTTACGTCAAGTTTCAAATACACCAAAACCCTGCGCCCATCGCGGGTTTTCCTATCGTGGATTTGACCGTGCTAAATTTGAGCTACAGTTCACCGATGGCGCCGCCCCTGTGACTCCACTATTTGCAGTTCACTGCGAATTTCATTTACAGTACACATCTTTTGGAACTCGGTGCCCTGCCTACTGCTGATCAGCCTCCAGTGAGGAGGCAGAGAGCTTCAGCCGCCCGCCATTTTTCTAACCTCACTACGTATTTTTTCACCATTCTATACATTTGTAATGAGCGACTTCCGTGACACGTCGTGGTCTTTATTTCACAATCGGGCACCGCACAGCTAACGTTATCTTCTCTTCTGAGTACACACTTGGATATTTACATTGTTATAGACTACACACACGGTTGATCACACGGCAGGTTCCACCCGTCCGCTCCCGGTCTTGCCGCTGGCTGACGGCGTGCCGGGGAGAGCGGTGGAACTCCGCAGGAGATCCGCCACGTGGCCGAACGACGGAGAGAGATGACGGCGAGTAGCGATGCAGTTTGGACCCAAGACTCTACATACCGACCCCGAGTCCTCCGCCTCCGCTTATATTGCCGCAGGCACGGCTAGGCTCCGCCTCCGGCCTCGCCCTCTCGTGGAACTTTCTATCCGGTTCACGGAGTTTCTCGGCCAGCCCTGCTCTTCACCTTTGACCTAGATGCCTATCCCTTTGGGGATTGGATAATGTTTATAATGGTGCCTGTACCCATGCTTCCTTTTTCCAACCAGTAGATGTCACTATCTCATTACACATTTACCGTGCAAGTTATATTTAACATGGTATAAAATATATCTTACGTAAATAATACTTCCTGTTTCACACACAACATACACAAAATGCACACATTGCTTATTTCATCCACGTGTCTAGGGTTGTCATTTCTCTATCCAATTAATTATGGCTCCCTGCCCTATAACATACAATACGTAACCTAACACAACCTACGCTCGGGTCTCGAATGCCCATCTAACCACACTACGGCAAAACTAGACACGGTTCGCTATCCCGGTCCGGACCACAAGCTGGGTCCCGGACCGCGTGGCTAGAGGCTTCTCCCCGACATAGATCTTCGAACACCAACACTTGAAGGACCCCGAGCTCCTCACGGAGCTCTCATTATATGCCCCCGGGCTCGGGCTGGCTCCGCCCTGAGCCCCGCCCACCTTCCAGGCTTCTCGAGCTCCCTCTCGAATGTTCCCGAGAGCTCTTCGGGACCACGTGACTGCCCCTCGGCCCCCGTCCACCGGTGGCCCCCCTCCAGTATCGTCCAGTCATGTGACAACAGGTCAGCCAGAGTATCATGCCCCAGGGTAACCCTGGCTGGCTGACGCTCGCTCTCGCTCCCTCACTGAGAGCTAACCAGCGCTCACCCAACTACCGCTAGTGTTGGTACTGCAGCCCGCAACCCGGGCTGCCCGCAATGACCACATTACCGGCCGTGACTTCGCAAGTCCCGGCACCACAGTGACAAGTATCGTCACGACACATATAGGATTTATGAACCGCCGATTTACGAATATTTGCTTTCAAATGTTCGTAAATCATTCGCTCAGTCAATGAATGATTGTAAGAGATGGCAGCGGCCAACCGGAGGTTCAACGATCCAAGCGCTAACTACAGCAGCAGCGACCATGGCAGAACCACGGAGCAATCCGGGACCACGTGGTGATATACTGCTCCCACTTTGGGAGGCCGGGCCACATCGCGAAAGGATGCGGAGGGGAAGTCGGCTTGAGACAACCAAGTCATCTCCAGACAACATCGTGGGACTTCCCAAAAAAGACCCAGGCTAGTCGCGACGCCCTGTACACCTGGCCAGATCACACAAATCTCATTTCCAGAAGCCTCACCGTCATCACCAGCACACCACTCGATCACAGCGACCGAGAGTGACACAACAGGGCAAATTTGGCCAATATCTAGGGCTAAGTGGACAAAATTAGCGAGACGGGTTGTAGCAGCAGCCTCGGGAACATTGGTTTTGGTGGGAGCGATAGAGGGAAATCCTGTGAGGGTGTTGGTGGACAGGCGCATCAGTAACCATCTCTGCACTCGTGTTTGATATGCTACCTGCGAAAAAACGTCATCTTGAACGGATTGACAATACATTTTGTGGGGGCAAATGGCGGTAGTCTAGGAATTGTGGGAAAAGTTGACAGGCCCCATTTTGGTCTCCTCTTCCCGAGCAGTACCATGTCTACTTGGTACCAATTATTAAGTCCGCTACCCATGAAGATAATGATGGACCAGTGCTGTGTTGAGACGCCGTCAGGGAAAATAAAAAAAATTTGCAGCCTGATTCGTAGACAGGAAAGGCTGCCAGAGTACACACCCTGGTGGGAGAGTCGATGACGATTCCACCACTAGCACAGGTGTTAATTCCCTTGCGATATCAATCGCCATTAATCACCCCACGCGTGGACGCAGAAACTATAGTTGCACCATTGGGACCAACAATTGGTCGACATTCGCTAGCAGCGGCAGACACCATTTTAAGATGGAACCAGCAGCTATGTATGCAAGTTTTAAATACGTTGGAGCGGGCAATTACATTGCAAGTAGGGACGGTAATTGCACAGATTTTCCCAGCGAGTGAGATTCATGAAGATGCAGAAGTAGTGGGGATACAGGAAGAGGATAGGGTCTCCCTGGGCGGAGGAAATCGTTCAACGGAACCCTGAATTGACTCAAGGTCAAAGAGACCGCCTTAAAAGTCACCTGGAATTTGAAGACATATTCAATAAGGGCCCAAATGATCTGGGTTGCACGGACTTAATGCAGCACCATATTGAAATGGGGAATGCTCAGCCCCACTGCATATACAGTGGGACCAGTAGAAAAATAGCAGATCCGTAGAGCTACAGATGAGATGTTGAGAGCGGAAATAATTTCTCCATCAACCAGTCCTTCGGGAGCACTAGTAATACTAGTTAGAATTCCAGATGGTTCAATGAGATTTGTGTATATTTCTGATGACTAAACAAGGTTACGATCGCGGACACGTATCCCCTACCCCAAATTGATGATTTGCTAGATGCATTAGCTGGAGCAAAATATTTTTCAACCTTAGATCTATCGTCAGGGTTTTGGCAACTTTCCCTGGATTACAAATCCAAATTACAAACCGATTTTCGAACACCGCAGGGGTTGTTACAATTTAATAGACTCTCCATGGGATTGCTCACTGCGCCGGCAACCTTCCAACGCCTCATGGAACTTGTACTGTCGGGCCTACAATGGGAGATTTGTTTGATTTATTTAGACGATGTCATTGTTTTTAGTAGGTCGTTTGACGAGACTGCGAGAGATTTTCTTAAAAGTGCGAGCCGGCAAACTGAATTTTAAACCATCAAAATTTTGACTTAAAACTTTCGTGACTGCAGGAATTGATATTCTTTGGTTCTTTCGGAAGAGTCACATATAATATTTTGTTATTTTTATTTTGAATAAAAATAATAAACAACAAAACACACTCATGTAGACTGTAGCCTGGTTCTTAATCGGAGTTAGTGTACTGGCAGTCTATAATGTAGACTAGCAATGGTTATTAAGCTGGGTGAGTGTACTGGC